AATTAAACTAAGATGGGAACGAATGAAAATATGTAGGCCAGCCTAATAAAAACGAATGCGGCTCTATTGTTTCGCTCTTTCTATCTGTCTGTCTGTGTTTTTATTATCATGCTCATTCATTCATTCATTCATTAATTCATTAATTCATTCATTCATTCATTCATTCATTCATTCATTCATTCATTCATACTTACGTTTTCCCATGCATCTATTCATTGGTCCATTTATACATTTTTCAATCAATCCATCCATATATTCAAGGATCAAACGTTATTTCTTTTTTTTAAATACACGCACCATTTATTTATTTTTTAATTCACTTAGTTGTGCATTTATTCATTCATTCGTTCGTTCATTCATCCATTCGTTCGTTCGTTCATTCGTTCGTTCCATCATTCATTCGTTCATTCATTCATTCATTCATCTGCCCATCTGTTTATCAGTTCGTATTAATCATCATTTTATTTCATTGCATATCATTCATTCATTTATTAATAACTCTGTTCGTTCATTCGTTCTTCGCTCAGTCATCCTCAAAGAAATTTTCAAATAAAATATGTTCGACTGCGTGCGGCTTGCTTTATCATCAACATCATCATCGTCATCATCATCATCATCATCAGCGTCGTCGTCATCATCATCATCATTTCTCATCATCATCGTCGTCGTCATCTAAAACATTACCACCATTGTGGTCGACATTGTTATAAAAGTCATGATCATTATCATAAGCATCATCTTTTTTTATCCTCTTCTTCCTCTTCCTTCTCATCATCATCATCATCATCATCATCATCATGTAATCATCGTCATATTAACAACAACATCGTCATCATCACTTCACGTCAGTCATCATATTAACGTTATCGCAATCATCATCATCATCACAACTATCATTTCATCATCATCATCATCACCATCATCATCTTGATCGTTGTATTTATACATTTGTAGAGTAATTGAAAACAGATGTTAACATACATTTCACGCATTCATATAACGGTTTCAATTGAGTAAATACAACATTACACACACGTAAACATAGACAGACGTATACATACATACACACACACACACACACACACATACATAGGCAGACACCCACATACATACACACAAACAAACCGGTACATCATCCATACAAACATACAAGCACATTCATACATACATACACACATACACACACACACACACACACGCACATATGGTGGTACCTCATTGTTTACATTGAAGTTTTCAACGAGAAATTGAACTGTCTATATCAATTCGCGCCAATGTTTATCATTAATCTGTAAAAACGTTCATATCTTTATCATCGTCACTGATCCACACTATTATTATTATTATAATTAATAATAATTATAATAATAATTATTTTTATTATTATAACCATCATTATCATCAATTAACATAGTCGTATTTTTTATGTGTACTGTGCTGTCATCAGTTATGTCATTCTCATCACATTCATGAACATCAGCATTCGTTCATTCATTCAACACTCTTGTTATTGGTTCAGATCATCTTCGTCTTGTCATCATTATCAGCATCGTAATCGTCATCATCATTCTTATTAAATACTGACGTCATTTTCATCATCTTCATCGTCGTCGTCATCATTATCATCATCATCGCCATCATCATCAACATCATCATCATCAAGTTCTAATTTCTTATTATCATCATCTTATCAACCGGAATTGTTGATGTAATCTAATAAGAATTCAACGATTTGATTAATTATTGATATTCATCATCGTTATCATCAAAACTATCATTGCAATCGTCGTCGTCATCATCAGTATATCGCAATTCATGTCAATGTTTTCATCACCATCTTCATCATCTTCATCACATCTTCATCACCACCTTTTTCCTTCTCATCTTCATCACATCTTCATCACCATCTTTTTCCTTCTCATCTTCAGCCATTCATTCTTGTCCAGAATCCAACAGGATGATTAATGATGGGTGGTGGCCAGCATAGCTACATGAAATCTCAATTATCATAACCATCATCTTCATCATCTTCGTCAACACATTATCGAATCATCATCACCGCAACATCACATCATCATCTTCTTTATATTATCATTATTACCACCATTATCATCCTTATAACCAATTTTATCATCATCATTAGTATCATTTTTTTTTTTAATTCAGTACACACACACAGTGCATGTGTGTTGTTTCATTCTTTATAACCATCAAATAATAACTCACCATCCTTCTGTGATAATCATCATGAATATTACTTCATTACCTGTACATTATTATTGTCACGAAGAGCAACACCATCATCACCATAATCGCTAACCATTTTTTGTAGTTGTCACCATTGTCACCATCATTCTGTCACTCTCTTAAGGTCTTTAATTCAGTCAGAAAAAAAAAACTAAAAACACAAACCATTATTACCGTAGTATCATCATCATCATCGTCGTCGTCATCATTATCGTCATCATCACCATCATCATCATAATAATCATTATCATTACCGTCACTACACAACTACATCAGATAGTTTGGAAAAACATTTCAAAACACAGACCTTATTATTAATTTTTATACTGAAGACCGTAACATTGTCATTGTTTTTATTATTATTATTATTATTATTATTATTAATGGTAGTAGTAGTAGTAAAAGCAGTAGAAGTAGCAGCTGTTGTTATTGTAGTAGTAGTATTGTTTAAACAATATTTTTCTAATAATGTTTGTTATTATTATCAATTTTGTCGTTGTTGTAATCACCATTATCAACATCATTATTATCATTATCATCAATACAACCATCATCATCATCATTATCATCACCGGCGTTACATCATCATTACCATCATCAAGATTATCATCATCATCGTCGTCATCATCATCGTCTCAGCTAAAACTTTAATTTATTACGACATCATTAGCACGAGAAGAGCAAATTTCCATTAACACAATTCAGTCACAATTTGTTTTCTTTCAAACTATTCATTCATTCTTTCATTTGTTTGTTTATCCATTCTTTCATTCATTCGTTCGTTCATTTAAACATTCATTTATTCATTCATTCATTCATTCGTTCGTCCGTGTGTTCATCTTTCAAAGGTTTGTTCAGTCGTTCGTTAAATAATTCATTTGTTCGCATGTCATTTTTTAAACGTTCACTCATTCATTCTTCTATTTATTCATTTAATGGCTTGTTCATTCGCTTATTTACTGACTTGTTCATTCGTTCATTCGTTCATTCATTCATTCATTCATTCATTCATTCATTCATCAGTCATTTCTTTCATTCATTTTTTCTTTTTGTTTGGAGAAGTTTGTTGAAAACAAACCACAAATAAAGCGCAAATTGCTAAGCACCCGAAACCAATCATAAATGACAATAACAACAACAATAATTACTGTAATAAACAATAACAATAAGAAACAATAACAATAATAGCATATCAAATTATTATCACAATAAGCCAGAAGAAATCTCATAGACAGATTGATAACAAAATACCGAAACATGATGGTGATGATGATGGTGGTGATGATGATAGTGTGGTGATAACGATGATGGTGATAATGGTGTGAACATTACCATTACCGCGAATGCTATGAAAATTGACACTGATTTATTTTTTTTTATTATAATCTCTTATTGTTATTATTACTATTATTATTCTAGAATAAAAATTGCGTTACGACCCACACACACACACACACACACACACACACACACACACACACACACACATACACACGCACACAGAGAGAGAAAAAGAGATAGAGAGAGATTCACGCACACATATACATACTTATGAGGTTTTAATTATGATTCGTGGTTCCTGGACTATATTGTTACCGTTTGGTATAGGAAATATAACGGTACTATGATATGAATAATAGTATGATGCATATTTGTGAGTGTGTATAAGCGTGAGTTTATGTGTATGTATTTGTTTGACATTTCTGTTACTTTTCTAGTTAGAATTTTTTAGTTAAAGGTGGCCTATCTACAAGTTTATCTTTTTTTGGTCATCTTTCAAAAATAAAAAAAATCTAACTTTTTCTTTTTGAAGATAGCGTATAGCCGTATCGATTTGTATAACTGTATTCTTTTCTGTCTCGTTAAAATTTTCCGTGAAAATCAGCTTTGAAAATTAAATGTAATAGTTTTAAATTTTACGTACCGATAGTGCTAGATCATTATAAAACTTTTATATGACATGCATTGATTGTTTTAATCCTTTTTTTAAATGTCAAAGCTCTTTAGTTTGTGTTAAAACCATTTGTGTTTACTTTTCAATATTGCTTCTAAACTTAATAAAGTATCTGAAAATATTGATTGAGTGGATGACGCGGAGAACAATAAAAAAAACTCAAGAAAAACGGAAGAAAACACAGTCAACCTCATCATCACTTCAAAAAATTCAGAAAGTGTTAACGGGCTTCATTCAATTGGACAAAAGATGACATTGAACTAAGTGTACAGTACTGCTGTTAAATGGATATAAATTATAAATGGATGCTTGTAACAATGGTTATCGTAATGAACATGAAAAATAACAACTGCAAAATGTCAATAAATAAATTATTGTGTAACAATTCCTATCAGTGGCGGGAGAGAAATAAAAAACCTCGGTATTGCATATTAAAGAGGTGAACGAACACACCTTGCAGACATCAACATTTGCATATAAATTTCACGTGTTAATGAAGCAAAAAAATGTGGAAAAACTTAAGAGGTATGAACTTTTTCCCAAAAAATAAGATTGCAAAACAAAACATAAAAATTTCTGAAAAACTGATAATTTTTTGAAAAAGAAATCACCTTTAGACCTTAGTCAATAAATCGAGAGAGTTGTTAGCAACTTGTGCTGAGTCTTATTAATGTTGGTTCTTAGGTAACAAAATTAATAACCTGAGATATCTGTCTGGCTCGCAAGTAATCACATACAGATGCTAATGAACGTGAACTGTGTGCACATTACTTGTATATCTACGTATGTGCATAGTTAGCAAGAAACTGTATACACTCTTACGTTTTTATGTTTTTTTTTGTCTGCACGTGCTTTCATGCGTATTTGTTTTTGTATGCGTGTGTGTATATATTTGTATGTGTTTCGTTCACTTGGTTGTATGTGTGGAGTTTGTTTGCATAACATATGGAAAGGATTACACAGAGAGGCCGTGCTTGCTTGTTTGCTTGTATGTTCAGTTGCACGTTCGTACGTACACGCGTGCATGTGTTTGTATGTATACGCATGTTTGTTCCCATGTATATGCATGCATGTTTGTATGTAAAAATGCATGTTTGTATGTAAAAATGCATGTTTGTATGTACAAATGCATGTTTGTATGTACGTGCCATGCATGTTCGTAAATACAATTGTTCGTTTGCATTTTTCAAGTAGGAACAACAAAGATGGAAAGGATGTTTTTGTTTATTTCAATTTAAAGGAGCACGTACAAATATTATAGGAGGCCTCCTGGTAGATCACTTGAAATTATACAAACGATCGAGAGACGATTAATGAAACATAAAAATGTGAATTGTACGTATCATCCTGTGTATCATGTACGTTAGTAAAATGTGGCATGTTCAGTGTACATATCATCTTGTATATCATGTATGTATCATCATCTCGTGTGCTGGAGCGAGGAGCTGGCTGATTGTGTTGCGTGCAATGAATCCCAAAATATTGTGCGCAAGGTAAAAAATTGTTATCAATAGCATAAATATGAACTAAAATTTTTGCTAATGCAATTACAATTCACAGAATTAATTAGTTAAATATTTTAGATAAATTATTTTCAACTTAAAATTAATTGAAGGCGATAAATTGATTTGAATCTCAAAGGTGGCAGGCAATTGTCATTTTTAGCAATCATCTTTAAACAATCAACTTCCATCTTAAAACATTTTACTTGCAATCATCATTGACGTTCATCTATAAAAATTAAACATCCATCTATAAATCTTTAACGTTCAACTTTAAACATATGACATCCATCCTTTAACATATAGCATTCATCTTTAAAAGGCTTAACATACATCACATAAACACATATCACTGAACAAACATACCCTAGACGTTTCGTTTCGAATCCAGGATAGATCTGTGAGGTCTTTGCTGCTGTAGACATCAACTGAAATTAAGAAGTTTAATGAATTCAGTGGGGATGGAAGATTGAAGGTTGGAGCATAGCACGGCGGACGTTTTATGCTCAACTTACACAAGCGAGCATGCTGTCTTAATGCGTTCTTCAGTCTGTTTTAATGCAATTTTCTCAGATCGTTTTATTAACGGACTTCTTGTATAATAGAAAGTAAAGTAATTATGTATTTAATGTCTGCCTGTTTGTGTGCATATATGTGTGTAAGCAAGTGCGTGCGTTTGCGTATGCATGGTTTCCATTCGAGGGAATCTCATTAATATTGAAGATTTTGAATTGTCAAAAGATTTTCAACTGAATAGAAGATATGAAGTGAGGAAAAATTGAAAGATAGATAACTAAATAGGCAGATGCAATGGCACAACGTGTAACTCTCTTCACTTCTACAAAGATGGATAGTTTGATTGACAGTGAGAGAAAATAAAAGAAAACTAGAGAAAGAGAGAGAGAGTTAGAGAGAGAGAGAGAAAGAGAGAGTTTATTTCAAGGTAGGTACGACCACTTCATTTGTCGGTTTCATCTTTGAAGATTTTAAGAGAGTTAATTTGTATTTGAAAGTTGTTATCTTGCTTGATATCTGAGGAATGCGTGAATGTGAGTCTATTTAAAAATTTTAATTGAATCAAATTTGTAAGTATAATTTTTTACTATTTTCAAAATGATTTCATGTTTGTTATTTAAAAAAATATTAAAACTCATGAGAAATGAAAAAAAACATCGCACATTATAATTATAAAGTTACATAAAACATTTAAACTTATACAAACACACATTTTAGGTTTACAAACAAACGCGCACACACGCACACACACACACACACACGCATACATACACATACACGCACACATACACGAATACATACACATACACAAACACACGCAACACATAACAGCAAAACAAAACATATTTACTTTCTTTGTTGTTGACTAATCGTAAAAGAAACGAAGAATCAAAAATAAGAACGAAAAGTAGTAGATATCGTAGCCTCATAAGCAAGTGTGGCGATGAATTGGTGTTAGAAGTAGCTGATGTAGTAGCGGCTAAATTTGTTGTGGCTGTAGTAATTGCGTCTGTAGTAGTTGCAGTTGTAGAGGTAGTAGTAGTAGTCATGATGTTGTTTCCCTGTTAAATTCAAGCAATCCAATTAATGAGGAGAGTATCAATTAAGTTTGTATACTGTAAAATACACATACGTATGCGTACGTTTGTATATGTTTGTATTTGTATTTCAGGTATGATCAATCAACATGTGTTATATAATATATATGGTATATAAATATGTTATATATTGTAAATATAATATATATACATATTCATATATATTTTTTCCTTATTTATTTTTCATCATATTTCAAGCGTAATAATATTAAACAGTACGATGATGAGTATAACCAATGGAAGAACTTATAATCAAAAACACGTAACCCATAAGTAAACGTAGCACATACTAATCAAATTATTTCGATTATTAGAATGGAACATGGATTGACTGTTAAATATTATTGTCTATTTTATGTTATAACAGTCTTATTTTTATAATTATTTTTATAAAAATTACAAATTAGGCCTAAACTTATGTACAAATTTATACAACATATACAATAATATAAACTAACTAAACTACTTATAAAAACTCAATTAATTAATCAACCAATAACGGTATATAAACTCATACAATAAACATTCCTAGTAGAGTACATGTAATGTATATTCGCAAACAGACATATGCAAACACATACAAATACTACACAACGTATAAATCTATTTATCTTTTTTTTACATATATAAAAACTTAAATCGATACATAACAGTACAGTTTAACAGTAAAACGTATCAGTAGTGTACTTTTCGACCATCAACTCCCACAACATCGTTCTTAGCAAAATGACGATGATCGAATCTGCAATGCAATTGTGTATATATATAAAGCATTATGTATATGTATATATATATATATATATATATATAATAATAATTGTAGTATAAACATATATATAATAATTGTAGTATAAACATATATTTATATACATATACAAGCTGTAATATTAACACACACACACATATATATATATATATATATATATATATATATATACATATATATATATATATATGTGTGTGTGTGTGTCTATAGATATACATATAAGTGTGTGTGTGTGTATAATTAACCATGAATTAATTTTGTATATACTTACAATATTTTATTTATCAAATATTGCATCAATTATAGTCTCCTTCCAGCAGATACATTGATACCTATGTATATAAAAATAAATAAATAAATATATATATATATATATATATATATATGTGTGTGTGTGTGTGTGTGTGTGTGTGTTTATCTACCATTATGTGTTATATGCACAAAGATGAGTTTCTTTATTTATATAGCACACACGTCTATGAATACAGATCTGATGCTTTCCGTTTAACAAAATACTTGTATGTATATGTATTTGTATGTAAGTTTGTTTGTATGTTTGTTTGTATGTATGTAGGTACAATGTATGTATGTTTATGTTTTTATGTCCATGTGTATACTATACATATATACAAACACATACATATAATATGTATGTGCATGTATGAATACTATGACTGTTGAATCAGATTAGATTGGGTAACTTTGATGTGAGGTCACTGTTTTCTTTAATTTTGGGGTATCTCTGGCTACCAAGTTGCAGTTGTCATGGTATTGAAAAAAATGTGGCACAATGGATATTGAGGCACTGCCTCTCCAGGTTCAGTTTTGCTGGTCAGGGCACGTTGTTCGTATGCCGAATGAAAAATTTCCAAAACAGGTTTTCTTTGGACAGCTGGCCTCGTCTTGCAAGTTGTCCGGTTTGTAGATATAAGGAGAGTCTAAACAAAAAGTTAAAAAAGTGTGGACTAGATCCAAAAACATTTTGCACAGAAGCTCAGCAGCTTATGGATTTGATATCAAACTCACAGGCGGCGGTTTTCGTCTTTGAACAAACAGGAACAAACAGGAACAAACAGTTCCGGCTGACAAAAGGAAACGGCGAAAACAAGTGGCTCAGGATGAAGCGGCACAGGAGTGTGGGTCTGTGAAATCTAGGATCGTTGATATTTGTCTAGAACTTGAATTTTTGCCCAACGAAGTCACATCAATGACCCAGTACTCCGTTTACGAAGAGGCAGTTCATATGTATCATACAAATAATACGTATGCATGTATGTATGTATGTATATACAAAATGTCAAAAGTACAAACACATGTATATCAAATTCTAAATACATCAATGTTCAATTGATTGAGTTTGTCAACATTTTGTGCTGCTATTCAAACAAGAACATCTGTTTGCCTGTCTTACTTATTAAATTCCCCTCAGCATAATTTATGTAAAGTTCGCTAGGATTCTCCTACATTTGTATGTGTGTTGTTTGTTGCTAGAAATGTGATGTAATTTCGTTTTATCGACGACTTAAGTAGCGCAAATTTCGATTAAATATTTTAATTGTAAAAAGTATTTGTTGAAAAAGGAACGACGTTTCTTGCAGGATGTCTACTGCCATCTATCTTGAACATTATCTCGACAGTAATTATTATTTTTCGTTTTATTGAATAATTTTCAATTAATTGTGTAAGATACAGACCTACGTGTCTGTTTGCGCGCGCGCGCGTGTGTGTGGCGCGTATACATTTGTGTTTTTTACTGAATGCGTTCGCAATGAACAATTAAATAACACGACGCAATTAACATCATTTCAACAAACGAGTATTTTTCTACGATGTTGGCAAGTACACGCGCGCTAACGAATTTTATTCCTTCGTGACCTTTAGGTATGGCGATATAAAGCAGCTTTTGACATGCAAATTATTAAATAAATAATTGTTAAATGTTTCTCATACAAGTAGGTTGGTATAATTAATACAGAGCATGTTTAGTTGTGTCCGGGTGTGTGTTTAATACGTTTATTTATTCAATTGATCGGTCCGTAGGTCGTCTTTTTAATTTTAATTATAAACTAGTTCGAGTTGTTTATCGAATTAATTTTATTGTAATAGCATATTAATATTTCATCCTTTATTAATTGTTAAATAGTCACTTAAATTTTTTGAATACTATTTTAATTCCATCAATTAAAATATTACGAAAGGCCTGGATGGGCTGCCAAAGGAACTGGAGAGAAAATTCAATGAAATGAGAGAGTTGGATTCATGTTCACAGGGTCTTTTCATCATTGTCACGTTGTTGTTATTATTACGGTTGTTAAAATTATTATTGTAATAGTAGCAACATGAGTAAAATTTTTATCATTGCAGCAGTTACTTCTTCATTATTACTACTATAAATACTTACTACTTGACAGAACTGAACGTTGAAATAGACAAACTCGCTGAAGACTACCTGATCAACGTGAAGGGCTTGAATAAACAGGATAAGAAGAACCACCTCCTCAACATTCAAAACTGTTTCAGCAAAAGTAAAAAGTTTAGTGATGAGAAAGTTCAACTAGCTTTGCAAACTTATGAATTGGTGAAATACTTTCTAAAATTTTCGTTGATTTATTGAACATTTAATTACCCAAACAGTACAAAAATTCAATTTATTTGAAAATTCAATTTGAAGGAAGATATATTAGAATAGATGTAGATAGATAGTTAAGCTTATTTTCTAATAGTTTTTTTTAAATTTTCCATTATTATGCTAAAATACCAGAAAAAATTTGATCATAAAAATGTATTTCATTACAAGGTTGACAGACACATAAGGCGATTAGATGCAGATCTCGCGAGATTCGAGTCAGAGCTGAAGGTACAGCAGCTGAAGTTTGCAACGCAGGAACATGTCACGAAAAGCACCAACAATAGCAACAACACTAAACCTGGTTCTTACATTCTTATGATTTTTGTTCTTTAGTATTTTTAGAAATAAGTTAGTCCCGTTTTGCTGTTAAAAACTTTCAACATTTTTTAAACGTATTTAAATTAAAATTTCAACAAAATTTCAACAAAAGGGAAGAAGAAGAATGATAAAGATTCATCGGACAATGAGTGCGGTAAGAAACGAAAGAAAAGGTTAACTCTACAGATAAAATCAATCACTAAAACAAATTCTCCTTTATTGTATTCTTTAGTTAACTTTATTATTTTCAATTGAGCATCATTAAACTTTTTGAAAACTTCCTGAATAAACAATCCCAACGATAAACAAAATGGCCTCACCCAGAGCACAAGAACACAACATCGCGACCAGCAACAGTCTTCCAAGTTCCGCCCCACTGACAATGCTGCCCCTGGTACCAACCAATCAGCATTCAGACGTCCTGGACATGCCCGTCGACCCGAACGAGCCAACCTACTGCACGTGCCATCAAGTCTCGTACGGCGAGATGATTGGATGTGACAATCCTGATGTTAATATTTCGGCTCTTTGTTGTTCATGCGTTTGTTCGTTCATTTGTTTGCTCGTTCATTCATTCCCGATAGAAATAATAGTAGCAATAATGATAATAATAATCTGAATAGCGCTCTTGCTATGTTTAAAACATCGTACGCTCTATAGAGGGCGATAGGATTAAATAATTGTCGCGAAATTAAAAAAGTTCGCGCGTGAAACTTTTTTGGACATGAATTTTTGGCCAAGTTGAGCCTCGATAACTAATAAATATAGTAATACTCTTCCCCAACGACCTCCCCATTTATGACTCTCTTTCATTCCCGACCGTTTTGTTTCGGACGGAGTGCTTTCACAATAAGTGTCAATCCATCCATACATGCTTCCCCCCAATTTAAAACCTCTCCCTTTTAAGACCTGATTTCTATGAAATTTTCAAAGTCACTAATAGGGAGTACCATTGTATACAACGTAATTTCTGTACCATTCGTACTTTAGTGTCCAATCGAATGGTTTCACTTTGGCTGTGTTGGGCTGTCTACAAAACCGAAAGGTAAGTGGTACTGTAGTAGGTGCACTGCTGAACGCAAGAAGAATTTGAAGCATTGAATTGAAGGTGAGATTGAAAAATTTCAATGATGTCGATGTTGGAAATTTAATTATAATAATTAATGACCCTAACTCTGGTAGTTATAATTATAGTTACAAATAATAAGGTAAATAATTCAATTTAATTATTTTAACTTTTATTATGTATATAATAATTATTAATATTTAATAGGTCGAAGATGGTATTGAATAATAAAAGAATAACGGTGAATGTTATTTACTTGAAATTAGTAATTAAAATGCCAGTAGTTGTAAATTGTTGGTATATTTAAGTACTACCTATAGATTCTGATGTCGATGATTGTTTTAGTAATGTTGTACGTATCAACATATTTTCTCAAATTTTAATTTGTTAACACGAAAAATCTTGATTTTTTTTTCAAGAAACTCTTAAACGATTTCTACATTGCTTTCATTTTGTTGTGACGTTTTGAATTATATTGGGGAGGTGAGTGGTTGAAAGTCTGTTTAATTTCGTAACAGGTAACTTGTTAAATCACGGTTGAAGAGTTTTATTTTTATTTTTTATTTATTTATTTTTAGAGTTTTATAATACAGAAGTTTTATTTTATATTTATAAAATGATAAAATTAGTTATAATAATTTTTAACTGATTTAGATTTGATAACATCAAATTTTTGAAAAAAAAATTATATACATCATTTTTACTTATTTTGTCAATTTATATTCATTTAATATTTTTTAAATGAACGAATACGTGAGCACATAAACCCATTTTTTTAACACAAAACAGTTCCAAAGTTGTTTGTGGTTGGCTCATAAGTGAAGTCATCACAAACAAAAAGTTTCGTGAACTTTGGATCAACATATACGGATACATCATATACGGACACATACATTTTTTTGTCATCCATTATTTCATTCCACCCTTTCATCTTTGTTCCTCTTTGTTCCTCTTTGTTCCTCTTTGTTTTGTTGCAGTTACGGCTAAAAGTCTTGATGTCGGCCTTATAAATTGTTTGAAATATTTTTTTTTCAAATTTTTTCAAACAAAACAGCTTAAATTTTAAAAATTCATACAATACACGCATATACGCGCCTACATCTATATAATATGTATCAATATATATGCTGAACATAAACATTACATGCAACTTTTTTTAGCGTTTTTAAATGTAATTACTTGTTGTTTCTAAAAGTTGCATTTAATGTTTATTTGGGATAACTTTCTTTCTGATGAATAATATCTAAAGTTAAAGCATGGTATGGTAACAATCGCATATTTTAGCTTTCTGACACATGAACCATAAAAACGACTTAGACATAGTAATTTATGGTAGATCTTTTAAGAAGAAAAACAACCAACAACTATAAAAATACTGTTGTACTGTACATATATGACATTCAATCTAACCATTATAAAATATTAACATGACAATACGAAAAACTAAAATGGGACTTACGTTTATCATTCTAAGATGATGTAGACAACAAAAGCGCTAAAATATAATAAAAATATAATAACATTAATAACTATTAATTTTGATATCGCTTATTGTGTAGCTACTTCAATAGCGCTTCCTTGGGTTGAATTATATTCTCTGCAGAAATAAATGGTATTTCCACTAGATTATTTCAGAAAAATGCAAAAATGTACACCACCCTAGCACCAAACGTTTTGTTGATTGCGTGTTTAAACCTAAAATGAACAACGTAATAAAACCAGAGTGTGATTCTTAGGCTTTAAAATCAAATTAGGTGAGTGAGTCACATCATCCTGCTGGCGATGTCTGAACTTCATACTAGATGTGTAGTGATGTAAGGTGTGGTTCGTTGTAACTGTAGGTGCGTATAAACGAATGGATGCTATTTTTTGACCTTGTTGTTCATTTTTTAGATCTATGTTATAAAATAATATAATCTACTAATATTTTCCAATTAATTTCCTGTAAAACATCCATACTCAAATCGAAATCGTGAAAATGAAATGTTAAGAATTCGATCTTCAGTAGCTGGCAAGGCGCATTCACTCGCTATCCATACATACATGGTACGTGTGGAATGCATTGTTGAACTCCGTACTACATGCATCCATTATGAAATTTTTTTATTTCACCTTATAACCAGTACTAATTCAGTTTCTTATGTTTTTTATTAGTACCATCAAAGTTATCATTTTGTTGTTGGAGGTTGTAAAAGTAGTTGGGATAGTCGTCGTCGAAGTAGTAGCAGTAGCAGCAGTAGTTGTAACTGTTGAAATAGTTGAGTAGTAGTAGTAGTAATAGTAGTAGTAGTAGTAGTAGTAGTAGTAGTAGTAGTAGTAGTAGTAGTAGTAGTAGTAGTAGTAGTAGTAGTAGTAGTAGTAGTAGTAGTAGTAGTAGTAGTATAGTAGAAATAGTATTAGTAGTAATAGAAGTAGTAGTAGTATAGTAGAAATAGTATTAGTAGTAATAGAAGTAGTAGTTGCAGTAGTAGTAGTAGTAGAAGTTGTAGTAGTAGTTGCAGTAGTAGTAATAGTAGTAGAAGTCGTAGTAGTAGTTGCAGTAGTAGTAGTAAAAGTCGTAGTAGTAGTTGCAATAGTAGTAGTAGTAGTTGATCACTCATTATTTTTAGTCATAGCAACCACTGAACAAGACAAAATGTTATATAAAATAATGCTTAGAAACACGCCACTGCATGCGTCATTGGTGGACTAACATTGAACCACATTCCATCTCGATACTCGCTCATCCACGCGCAAACAAACGTTCAAAAACAATTATAAACACATATAAACAATTATACACGTTCATAAACAATTATAAACACATATAAACAATTATACACGTTTATAAACAATTATAAACAGTTATAAACCAATAAATAATCACATAAAAACACTCATACTTCCATGTAAACAACACTTTCAGACACTTATGAATACCAATCCAAAAATATGTACTACACACACTACACACAGACAGACATACACACACACACACAGACAGACACACGCATACACACAAATAAAATAAACCAAAACATATTCAGCCATTCATTAGAAAAATATTAATGCATAGAAAAAATCTCAGAAACAGCATTAACTAATAAACGTGAAGATATACGATTCGATACAGAACAGTGCGATTTAAAATTCACGAACACACATTCCAAACCAACAAAACAGACAGATGACTAATGGTCAGAAACACACACACACATAAACACACACACACACACACGCTTACACGCACACACACACAAACACGCACACACTTCATCACACAATCAAATGTACTCCGATTTATATTTTCGTTTGATTCACGCAAAATATTTTCGTGATAATTATATAATCATAAGAAAACAAGAAAAATAATAAATGTAAAAAGTTTGTATATTCCGTGATAGATACATCCACACAGATACAAAACCATAGAATGAAAGAGAGAGAGAAAAAAAGAAGGAAAAAATAGAAAGAGAGAGAGAGAGAAAGAGAGAGAGAAAGAGAGAGAAAAGAGAGAGAGAGAGAGAGAGAGAGAGAGAGAGAGATAAGTAACACAGATATATATCTTCCCATCCACGATAAGATAAAACACGTTCATCTTCGCCAGCCTTCTACAAAGTTCTGAGCAAGCAAGGATGGCGAATTAATTATGTTGATGAGTAAGGAAATATCAGCTGCAGCAACCGTGATGTTCATTGTTAATCATCTTCATCTTCTCCTCTTCCACCATCATCGTCATCATCATCATCATCATCTCGTCATCATCATAATCGTTATTATCATCAGCAACATTATCGTCAGCATGGTCTAAAGTGATTACTATCACAATGTTAGTGATAATGATAACGCGATGAAGATGATGTTGGTGGTTTTATGGTCACTAGTAAATAGTCATGATAAAATAAATGGTAACATTAATGTATATGAAAAAGACGATGACGATGATGATTACAATCAGAGAGGAGATGATGATGATGATGAAGTTGGTTTAGAATAATCGTCGTCTTCATCGTCACTGTAATATTCGTCATCAAAAAACTTTTCTTTCTCCAAAATGGTTTAGCTTGTAAAATCTACTAACATCATCATCGTCGTCTTCGTCATCATCATCAATGTTATCATCATCATTAATGTTATATATCATCATCACCATTATTAAGCGTGTCATTATTAATTACTGCACCATTGTTATCATCTTTATCATCATTCACTTATAATCATTCGTCCGTCCATTTTAAGAGTAATAATTGAATGATGCTCGGTTATGCGTGTACGGAATAAGATTTCAAAAAATAGATGAACGTGTGCTTACATACATTCTAATATATATTCACACATAATATTATAACCCTGCAATATATATATATATATATATATATATATATATATATATATAATTGTATATGCACATATATATATACATTTATATATATATTATTAGAAAATCAGTGATTTATATATATATATATATATATATATATATATATATAATATATATATATATATATATATATATATATAAAATTTCGCTTGCGCACCATCTTGGCACAGTTTAGAAAATTCACCGGTAGTTGTCTTACATTTAACTTGTAAATTTTTGTTGTTGAATGAAGTGAAGTGTTTATAAATTTACCAATTAAACGCAAAAAGGTATCGTTACAAGTGGTTAAAGAACTTTTTTTTATTGGAATCACATTTAAAATTTGAAAAAAATGCGTGAACTGGAGCTTTCAGATACTAACAATTTTGCTAACGACGCCAGCAAAAACGCCAACAACAACAACCACTTAATAATGAACAACGGTATCAGCAACAATGGCGACAGCCACCACATTGAAAGTAGTGGCATTCAAAACTTTGAATTCGTACCCGAAGGGGCTACAAACGTCGGAAGCATTTCACAAGAAGCGCAACCGCAGAATCTGCTTGACCTCCAACCACCACAACAAAATTTGGAATATTACCAACAGCACGAATTCTACCAGCAACAAAATGAACAACCTCTAGAATATTTCCAACAACAACAACTACATCACGAAGAAAATAATCAACTTTTGGAATGTTTTCAAGACGAGCAACAACAGCCGCAAGAATATTTTCAAGAACAATACCAACTTGAAGAGGACCGCAAACATCAACCACAGGAATACTTTCAAGAAGAACAATACCAACATGAAAACAACGAGCTACAGCCACAAGAATACTTTCAAGATCAACAATATCAACACGAAGAACTCGCACAGAAACCTGATGAATATTTAGAACAACCGCATAACCAGCAACTACATCAGCAAGCAGAACTTGAACAACAATATTACTTCCAACAACAACAACAACACGAAGAGGAACAACTACATGACCAATCCTACCAACAACAAGTTGATGAATATTTTCAACAACAACAACAACAGCACCAAGAACATGAACATGAACATGAACAAGAGCATGAACACGAACCACAACATGAACAACAACACGAACAACAACATGAACAACAACATGAACAGCAACATGAACGAACCCAGGAAATTCATCAACAAATACTACAAAATCAACAGCACCAGCCGCAGCCGCAGCAGCAGCTGCCGCTACCATCCCCCCCACTGCCACAACAGCTTGAAACTCAAACAACAGCAATCCAACCTAAACCGCCATCTCCAATATCTCCGAAGCCAAACCTCCAACTCCACCTTCAGCAAGAAGGACACGAGAAACTGCACAATGAACCAGTGAACAGGGGTGAACCCGTCGAAAAAGTTCAAGCCCCAGACACTGCCAAGGTCATGAAACAACTTTTCGAGTCGGGAAAGCTGGCTGAAAGTCGCAACGTTCAAAAAACTCTTCCGGATGTTGATTTCGAAGGCAGGACTCCTGGCTCCGGTGTAAGTTCTTTTTTAGTCACTTCTGTTTAGAATTAAGTTAATTTGCAACTACGGATTTGTTTATTTCTAATTTCGGTCGTTTGTGAAATTTGTGGTCTATTGCTGTTTCTATTTAGTTACAAGTTAAAGTTTATTCCGTTCACAGTTCCTTAAATTCAATTTCAAACGCATACAAGGTTTTTGAAAATGAGCCAATCAGATTGGAGGGTGTCGTTAGGTCGGATGACGTCATTGTACCGGAAGAAGAACTAAAAAATGTTTCGACGAGAAGCAAACTAGATGATTATTTAGAGAAAAGTAAAAGTGAATTCGTGATAAAGAGAGCTCCTGTTAAACTGGCTGAAGACGAAGGAAAGGTTAGAGTCACTTCTTTTTTCGTAGTTCAATTCAACGTTTAAGAATTAATTTATCGCTATTAACTAATTGCCATATAATAAAAATGATCTGTAAATTGTAATAATTTATTAATTTACGAGTTATATTTATTATAGTAAAATATAATTTAATTACAATACAAATAATAATCGTTATAATTATTACTTATTTTTGCCGACACTAAAAACTACAACGAAAACTTTGAATTGCAGATTATAGAAAATGCCCCGACCGTGCGCACTGACGTCACCAGAGAGCAGGACCAATCAGAACAGGAGACCATCTTGCCCCAGGAAGGGCAAACAAAAGCCCTGAAGCAGCAATGGATGAGCATGAAGAATGAATTCGTTAAGGAGAACAAGCCGATCAAGCTGGTGGAGAGAGAGGGCGAGAAAAGTGAGCAGTTCTTCGTTGAATGTTGTTAGAAAATTGTAAATTTAACACTACAATAACGAATTTCTCAAACGAATAGATTTTTTTCATTTATCTAATAATTTAATTTTGAGGATAACATTTAATAATTTTCTCGTAAAAATATAAAAAACTGTATTGTAAAACGCCAGTATCAAACAACACATCAAACCTGCACGAAAATTGAAGGTGTAGTTGAGAACGAGCCAGAAATACGAAGGGACGTTTTGAGAGAAGAGGATCCACAGGCAGACGAGAACGAATTGTTGAAACGTGGACTGACCAACAACTTGAAATCTTACTGGACTAACTACAAGGATCGAGAAATATTTGCTCGCGATAATCCTGTTTTAATTCCTGGACCTGATGGCAAAACAGCCTCTGTGAGTGAATGGCCATGAAAGGATGGTCATCTTAAATATCATTCAATTGTTTTAATTTTTATCTCAGGTATTGTTTTTTTATTTTTATTTTACATTTTTTATTATGTTTAGATAATAAAATGAGCCATCAAATATTTGAAATAATTGCTTTGAGGTGCTGGAAAACGATCCGATTGTCTTGGAGAACGTTGCAAGAGAACAAGATCTTTCCAAATTTGAAGTTGACAGCATTGAACGTGGGAAAGCAAAAGTTTTGGCAAACAAGTAAGCTTCGATTAAAAAAAATTTATAAAAATTTGTAAAATTTACGAAAATAAATTATTGTTTTGATAAATACAAACACTTTTCGATTATATCAAAAAATAAGATGGATATCAATGGATGACAAGTTTCAACCGAAAGATTTCTTCAATATGGAGACGGAATTAGCAACAAGTAAGAACGCTGGAGTGTTTGAGAACACGCCAACAGTGGTTAGAGATGACGTGGTAAGAAGCGGAGAGATGGTACAGGAGGTCGTAACTAAGGAAGGTGTTGCAAAGCTCATGTCGGAACGATTCAAAGATTCAGAATTTTGGAATCCCAAGGTTTAAAAACGGGCTGATAAATTAATCGCAACTTTTTCATTTGATATTTTCCTTTTTGTTAAAGTTGTTTGATTGATTTAATATTTGTATAAAGAATTTAAATATTGTATTTAGAAATTGTAGAAGCTTAAAAATTTGAAACACTGTAGTCTCCGAAGAGTCCTCCAGTCTTGGAACTGGCTGAAGGTCCAGGAGTTCACGAGAATGTTCCAGCTTGCCCTCATCCAGACATCGTCAGGTTTGGTTCACTCACACAACTAATTGTCTGAACTATTTTTTTTTATAGTTTTAATAACCATTCAATTTTACAAAAATTTTTTAATTTCATAATTCATCAGATGCGACGTTGATTCCGATCAAGTAATTCTCTCATCTCTCCGCCAAGGGCTGACCTCTGACCTCGTGGGCAAATGGAAGAGGCAGGATGTTGTTGGTGCGCAGTTGTCCATGCCTGACAAGTCATATTTCCACCAGCCCAGGTCCTAAACAATGTTTTTTTTTAATGTTTTACCAAAGAAATTAAACTTCAATTATAAAAATATAAAAAATTACGTGAAAAAGTTAATCGAGTTTACAATAAACTTGATTTGTTTTCATGAAGCAAGCTGCTGGAGAAAGAAAGAGCCAGTGACTCAGGCGTGTACGAGAACAAACCGGAAGTGAGGAAGGATGTTTTCAGAGAGGAGGACATAGAACCGGAAATGGTGTCGGCATCGAAAACAAGAAATCTGAGAGCTATGTGGTCCAAGATGGGAGAAGAACAACCAAAAAAAAGTGGTGTACCTAAGGTTTGCGACTGCTAGTTTCAATATTAAATAAACATTTTTACACATCGTTAATCAAAGTTTTGCCAAAATTTTTTTGAAAAACCAATTTAAAAATTAAATTATTTTGATTACAAAATTTCAGCAAATTCGTTTCACGCCACCACGCGACAAATCTCCACCATCTCTGACGTCACCCGAAAATGAATACAAGTCAGTTCACAACGTCAGATTATCCGATTGCTAATCTTTTTATACAACTATTTTTAATAATTAATAATTATTTAACTGTTCGCTTTTGGATGTGTTCGTTTGTTTAAATTTAAACAAAAATTAAATTTCCATTTACGTGAAGTATATTTCAACTTTAGTGTCGTCTTGTGTGTGCGGACATTCGTGTCGTGTTGTTTCACCGTTTAATTTTTTTAACAAGGTGATTTAAATCATATGTCATTAGTTTTGTTTATTACTGAACACAAACTATGATTTGCATGTTTCTTTCTTAAATGTTTAAATTTGAATTATCATTCATTACTCTCTCTCTCTCTCTCTCTTTCTCTCTCTCTCTCTCTCTCTCTCTCTCTCTCTCTCTCTCTTTCTCTCTCTCTCTCTCAACCTGAATGTGCTTTTGAAAATTTGTCTTTCGATCGATTCAACAGCTATGTTGTGTACAAACCATTTTTTTTTCAAATTGAAGTCGTCCTCTCATTATATTTCAAAATAAAACATCTCAAAACAGTTTGAACTTTGTAACTTAGTGCTCATAAAAATAAAAAACAAACAAAAAATGGTAAAGAAACAAAACAATTCGTTTCTTCCTGTCGAGAAAAAATGTAGAATAAAATTAATAAAAAAAATCGTAGCAAAGTAACTGAATTCTTTCAAGACAAATCTTATTTCAGCCAAATCATGATTAAAAAAGCTAAGCAGCTAATGTAAAAAATAAATATTTTCAAGCCAAGTTGGTTAGTTGTAGTTACAAATTTAAAAAAATTGGCAAATGTAGAAATACATACATCGGTTGGTTACTGAATAAAAAAAGACAACAGTTCAATGAAAATTATTACAATGTAAAAACAAAAATTGGTTTGAATTAAAACAAAAATATAAAATATGTATAAAAATTAAATTATCTTTATAAAATAAATGAAAAAAAAATGAAGTGTGAAACAACCGCCAATAGGCGTGCGTTAAAATTTGTATTAAATTTAAAATAGGTATATTAAACTCGCTTTGGGCAAAAAACTATTTACTTAATACTTGTAATTAAGAATACATTTTTAAAAAAGAATTAATTTCGGTGTAGTATTTATGAGAAATGTTTTTAAATTTCAAATTTTAACCGATTATCATGCATTATATACATATAAAACATGTATTTATTTATATGCCTTATGAACATAACCTTTGTTATACAGATGCATATTTGGCAATAATATTTTTTTCAATAAGTAGTCACGGTGTTAAAAAAAAGAATAAAATGCCATTATAATTGTTATATATAATTTATCATATCATAAAATAAATAAAAAGTAATTGAACCAGTAAATAAATCTTGTAAATTTGTAAAATATTATTATTTTAATGTAAACATAGAGGTTTTTTAAAGTTTTGAAAATGCTTTCCAAGATTTATTGAAGTTGTTAGTAAGAATTGAACTGAGTTAAGAATCAAGTTGATTCGCGTTGGTTTTTTGTGATTACAAACAAATAAGAGGAAAAAACATATCAAATAATTCATTCAATTTGTTGGGCGGTCGGTTGGTGGTGATCAGTTACTTCTCGATGGTGATTGATGAATTTTCCGAGTTAACGCAGTCGAAATATTTTTTTTTGCAGTTCGTGATTTAGATAACTTTCTTGACCAGTGGCTTCTTGTGGTTCTCGTTCAGACTAAAGTGGATGATGTTCTCGGCTTCAAAATTGCTGTAATAAAAGTATTTGTTGTTGTTGCTGCTGCTGTTGATGCTATTGCTGATGTTGTTGCTGTTGTTGTTGTTGTTGTTGATGTTGCTGTTGATGCTGTTGTTGATGTTGTTGATGTTGTTGACTTTGAAGTTGATGAAAAATTGTCTGCCGTATGTTGAGGACATTTTGTGACAGTTTGTTGTTTATGATATTTTGTAAGTTTCGGTTTTGCTGGTTGTGTAGATTGCGCTGAACTCTCTCATCACTGTCACTAACATCTTCAACACCATCATCATTTATGTTATTATTATTATTACTCATTATTTCATCTTCGTTATCATCATCTTCCCAATTTTCTTTAATATTATTATTTGCACCTAGAGGCTGATAAGTAACTTCATTGAAGTAATAATTATTGTCCGGTGATTTCGAAAACTGATTTGACGAAATTGGCTTTAGGCTGAGCTGCTGCTGCTGACAGAAATGAAGATTTTTTGGATGCTTGTGCTTTTTCTTCTGCACTGTCAGCACCTTTCCATAAGCTGACGACAAATCCAAAGGCACCTGGTCGGGGTTATATTCATCTGCCGTCGTGTTTATATTTGAAACTTCGTCGTCGTTGTGACTGTTATCATTGATGTCAACATTCACGTTGTCGTCGTCTTGATTGTTGCAATCGTTGCAGTGGCCGTTGTTGCTTCTGTGGTGAATCGTTGACGAGTTTTGTTTTAGGGTTTGTTTTAGATGTTGTTGATAGTTTTGATGGAAGATGTTTTGAGGTGTGTGGGAGTTTCCCAGAAATGCATCGCGATTAACGTTTGCACGGTACGTTTTATAATAAATTGAATTCGTTGGCTCAACAAAATTTTGCTTAAAAAAATATTGATTGAATTTTTGCAGCTCCAATGGTGGTGGGAGCATGTTCATCATTTGTTGAGGTGGTCTGTACAAATCTAATCTCTGTGGTTGCTGTTGTTGCTGCTGTTGCTGCTGTGACTTTTGAAGATGCAGTTGACGCTGCTCTTGATAATAGTTTTCTAAGTCACAAAATTCATGGTTTTGAAATTGTTGCTTTTGAGGTTGTTGTTGATGCTGAGGTTGTTGTTGTTGTGGTTGTTGTTGTTGCGGTTGTTGTTGATGCTGAGGTTTTTGTGTTTGTTGTAGCAGATGTTCATCTTGCAGTTGTTGCTGCTCCTTAATTTTTTGTTCCAATCTTTCTTTCTCCAGGAGTTGTTTGTATTCCGAAAAACGCATCTTCTTATCGCCAACTAACACCATCCTTTTATGCTTCGGTCTGTAATCGTTGCATGTAACATTTGTAACAACATCTTGATGATTGATAACTTGAATTGTTGAGAACAAATTGTATCAATATTACTGATGAAATAAATGTAAAATATTTCAAAACTGTTAGACAGTCCGCAAACTAGGACGTTTTTAGAACCGTGTGAATCAACGCATAAGACACAAGACATGTGATAGGCGGAGATCTCTTTGCGTTCAAACAAGGTCACTGCATCAGCAGTGGCAAGCACCTTAACCATTAAGCCACCACGCCGGCCATGTTACTTGTATTTGTATCCGGGATGACTTTCCATGTGCACCCTGTTCAATCTCATCTGCTCCGCGAAGTAAGGCTGCTTATCATCCAGCGACATGCGCTTCCATTTCATTCCTGATGATGATGATGATGACGGCGACAAAAATGACGTTGGTGATGATGCTGAAAAAATATTTTAGTAATGCAACACAAGATGATAATATATATCTTCTTTTTTCTATAATTTTGGTGCTATCAACAAGAAGCACATTTCGTACATGATACAAACACATGTGAATCTACATTTCACACGATAGACGCGAGATCACTTCGCATTCGATTCCAGTGACAGCAACCCCAATGCCAATCATCTTAACAACTACAACAACATTTTACTCATCGCTAAATACCAACCTAGAATTTTTGAGACATTGGAGTTATGCATTTCGGGGCACATGTTGAGAATTCTCTTTCTTTCCTGCTTAGCCCAGATCATAAACGCATTCATCGGCCTCTTCACGTGCTCCACGATGGTCGGAGATATCTGCTGGACCTCGTCGGAAATGACGTCACTGGAAAGATCGGATTGCATCTCGGAAGGATAGAATTTGTGGAAGAGTTCTGCGTTGTTGTTGTTGTGGTGGTGGCGGTGAGTGTGGTTATGGTTGATGCTCTGTTGATAATTTTGTTTCATTTATCGGGTTTAGTAAAAGAAACTTTTTATTTTTGTCCAAATCATAAATCCACTTTTGAAATATTGGAGAATGTTGCAAAAACAATAAAAGTGCTAAAAAGATAAAAATCATTTTGCTTATTTTTTGTGTTAGTTTGAACGATGTTAATAGATAAATGAATGAGAGAGTGACAGAGGACCAATTAGTAAGTGATCAAAATGAAGAAATGGATAAGTGAATGACTGAATGAAATATCTTTGTGAGATTAATAGAAACATTCTTTAAAGGCCATGTTAGATTTTTGTTATTAAACACAGCATGCAATGTTTCATGCTAAATACATTTAATTTGAATATTGATGATTGTCTTGGGTACAAAATTTAGAAACAAAATTACAGATTAAATTTCATTACATCTCGAGACAACAGATAACCATTGTCGCAAAATTATTTAAAAAAATTAATTACTCCACACTATTATTAAGTTTATAAAATTAAATCAAAAATTCAAAACCAAACCTTTAAAGTCATTCTCACAGTTGATAACTTCATCATAGACGTGTTTGATTTTGGCGGCGCTAATTAGAGATATTGACTCAGCGCTTTTGCTAGCAACAGTTTCTGAATGATTGTCACCAAAAATTTTTGTATTTTTTTTACTCGTTTTGATCGTTTTTTCGTTTTTGTTTTTCTTTTTTTTCAAGTTTTTTTGTGCATCTGTGGTGAGGCTTTTGTCCATATTACCTAGTGTTGATGGGTGGTGATCATCTGCAGTTTCGTTTGAGATAGTCGAAGGAATAGGTTGTCTATCGATTTGGAAATTATCATCATTGTTGGAAGCGGTTGTGCAGTTGTTATTGTTATCAATGTAATTATAATTGTTATTGTTGTTATGGTTGCAGTTGTGGTTGTTGTTGTTGTTGTTGGTGTTATTGCCAGTATAGCTACTCGTGTCACTTTCGTTTATACCTTTGTTGTTCTTGTTGTTGTCGTTTGTTATGGTATTTAGATAGTTAATGTTAGTGTCATTAAGAGTTTTTGGTTTTATGTTGATATAATTGTTGTTGTTGTTTTTGTTGTTGTTGTCGTTGTGTTGGTTACTTTCGAAAATGTTGATCATTTTTGCGTCGGCTGTATTTCCAGAGTCAGTTTTAATTTTTTTATTTGGACTTTTACCATTTTTGAAATTTAAATTCAGTTTAACGACTTTTTTGTTGCATAAATTGTTGTTGCAGATATTAATGTCATTGTTTGTTTTGAAATTGTTGTTGTTGTTTTTGTAGTTATCGCCAACGTTTCTAACGTTGTTGTCGGTGTATCTGCTAACGAAACTCTCAAATTTGTTGTTGTTGTTGTTACTACTGTAAGAGAATCTGTTACTTTTATAGTTAGAGTTACTCCTATTGCTGTTAGCGTTAATAATGTTCACGTTTTTGTTACTGTCACAACTGACGTACTGTTTATAATTTTTCTTTTTATCAGTTTTTTTGAAGTTCAATTTAGGCTCGAAATCAATAACTTGAATTCTGTTTCCGGCAAGATTATCCGGATCATGATTTTCGAGTACGTCTGGCGAAGATGGAGCAGAAGAATACGGAGACGACATGGCTACTGTTAGGGGAAGTTTCAACGATAGCGATGATTCAGTCGCCGTCGTTGGTGACGTCACTGATGACGAAAATGTTGTTGCTAGCGATGGAGATGATGAAGATGACGACAACAATGATAACGGCGACGATGACGATTGTGTTGATTTACTGTCATCATACCTCTTCTTCATCCTCGTCATCTCTGACGTCAGGCAAGTTATCAGCTTCCTCATCTTATCCATCTTCACAGCTTCATCCCAATTTTTCTCTTCAGCCATCTTGCACCACGTGCTCAGAATCTCGACGATGTCATCGTCGCCATTTTCTTTTGATTTTACCAAATTTATATAGTATAACATTATTTATATTATAATAGGATTTTTCTCTTCTTCAACTGAATATCGTGATAATGTTGGTGTTGTTCTTACCGTTAGTTTGCTAACCATTATTACCTGATATAAAATATATAGTTAGAATATATATAAATACACAAATGTGTATATATATTTGTGTATGTGTGTGTGTGTGTATATTAAAAATTACATATGATTTGAATGTGATTTAAACAAGCCTAGAAAAAAATAAATTATGTATGTGAATTCGCTCGTGAGTTCTGCAGTTTACTTCTGTTGAAATTTTATTATTGCTTCTCTATAGACAGCTTACGTGAAAGTTCCTAAACAAAACAATAGTTGCTCTGTTATTAAAGGCACAAATACTGCTTACACACACAAGCACAAACACACACATATACACAAACACGTACACACACACACACTCACACACACACACATATATATATATATATATATATATATATATATGTATAATTATTATAAAAGCACTTATATAACAGATTGTCAAGTGTTTGTGTATGTGTGTATGTATGTGTGTATTTATACGTGCACGTGTTGCACATCCATTGCGACATCAATAACACCTTGATAATCTTTCATTTATTTGTTGTATTCGTTTAGTTCGAACACCTACAAAAGCTTATTGTTAGTGCTTAGTATTACAAAAAAACACTGTACACTAGATGGTCGTGACGTAAATGTTATCAAAAACATTCAAAAATGTTGTTTGAGTAGTTTGTATATGCATGTAGGTATGTATGTTTGTATATATGTATGTATGTATGTATGTTTGCGTTTGTATGTGTGTGAATGTTTTTGTGGATGGGTGTGCATGCGTTTGTTTGAGTATTGTAGGTGTGTTTTGAAAATATTATGTTGTGGGTTGGTTAGAGTTTGATTTTATGTCTATTTGTGTGAATTTATTTGTATTTGCTTCTGCTTGTGAAAGTTTGAATTTTTGCGTGTTTGATGTTGAGAAATATTGTTCATTGATATGTGTTTTTCAATTTGTGCACATTTTTTGTGTGAAAGCTTAAATTAATCAGTATTAAAAGAGCAGAAATTATTTGAAGTGCAAAAAATGATGTTTACAGAAAAATAAACTTTCAAATTGCGACATAGAATTAATATTTTGTTTGTTCAACATTTCATTATTTGGTCAGATTAATACGGAAATGGCATTGGTGGCGTTTACATGGTACGTGAATGTTTGCATGGTGCCTAGTACAATTTTATTCTGATCAGTTGCATTTGAACATTTAGTTAGCTGCTCACCTGTGTAAATTTTATAGCATTCCACAAAGGTTTTGAATTATTTCAACTTAAAAAATGTGTTTTGTTTCTAGCTGTAGTAATAGAAGTAGTGGTAGAAGTAGCTTCAGTAGTAACAGTAATAGCGATAGTAACAGCGCCGATACAAATAGAATTAGTCTAGTAGAATAAGTATTATTTAAAGTATCAATAAACTAACAACAATAACTTATTCGTTGATTTTCAATTGAAAATTAAAATATGGCCGATGAATGGAAATTTTAAGCAATGGTAGTTACTGACAATGGCAAGCTTTTAAAATTTATGGCAAATGAATAATACATAGCCATCTAAATCGAACACTTTACACTCTGTTTCTCCATGTTTCTTTCTCTCTTTCTGTAATTTTTTCTTTTTTTTTTCTCTCTCTCTCTTCTTTTTTTTTCTTTCTCTCTCTTTTTCTCTCTCTCTTTTCTATTTTTATTTGATTTTTTGATTTTTTTTTGTTGATGAACAAATGAATGAATGAGTGCTAAAAATAACCAAATCAGACATTTGAAAAAAAATAAACAAAAATCTATGAGACAAAGAAATGAAACAACAACAAGATAAACAAAGAAAAGTAATAATGGCGAAGACTACGACGAAAATATCAAAGTCAATATCCATTATTCACTATATAACCACCAAGCTGAAAATAGATGAAAATGAGTGAACGAATGAATGAATGAATGAATGAATGAATGAATGAATGAATGAATGAATGAATGAATGAATGAATGAATGAATGAATGAATGAATGAATGAATGAATGAATGAATGAAAGAACGAACGAACGAACGAACGAACAAACGAACGAATGAATGAATTATAAAAATGTCTTCGTATCTTCATTCAAATATTTATTCAAGTATAAGCCTGTTATATTGTTGATTGAAAAGTACACTGCAGACAAACATGCTATGTCGCTATTGAATACGAAATGCCCAATTGTTAGGTTTCTTTTTCAATTTTTATTTGCTAAACCGGTTATATCTTGTTGAGAAAATAACCTTGTTTATTTAAACATCAAATTGTTAATATTAAATTTTATTAATTTTTTTTTTAAATTATTATTTCTGAATCAACGTTCATAATAAATGTTATATTTCATTGTAAAAAACCCATAACCAAATAGTTGGGATTTGTAATTTTTTGTGGAGACTTCTTAACTATTTTTAAAAACTCCCAATTTGTTTTATTTTAGTGTCAAGTTGAATTTGATTTCTAAAAAATTTGGCGATTTTTCTTTGGTTTATTGTCTCATTAGTCGAAAAAAAGTTTATTCAAACTAGCAAACGCAAATCATTTTAAAGTTCCATTCCCGCTCTTGTTGGTAGTCTTTTTTTATGTTGCAGTTACATGCAAAGGTTTTTGGGATGGTAGTGAAAATATCCCTATTGACTCAAAAGATAAATTTCTTAAATATATGACGATCGCTTGGATGTTTGTCCTGCTCGTTATATAGGAAATCGCTTGCAGTTTTCAAGTTAAGAGTAGAAACAGCAAAATTAAACCAGATCCATTTCCATATTTGCATCTAAAAATTTTAAAATTATTTTATAATTGCATGTACAGCTGAAAACGTCACTTCAAATATCATGAATGATCGAAG